GAGAGAGAGAGAGAGAGAGAGAGAGAGAGAGAGAGAGAGAGAGAGAGAGAGAGAGAGGGAGAAGCATCTTGCCATATCCTCGCTCATATTGTTCAGATGTGCCCTCTCGTATCTTTGTGACAACATGTGTAGATCACAGGAGTCCTTGCAAACACAATTATGTCGTAAACATTGAGTCACAGGTGTGTGCAATGACTTGCTGGTTCTGTTGGTCTGTCGCCTCTCTCTTGTCGAGGCTGTACCATAGGTAGGGTAGTTTCATAGTTATGTTTGGCTGAGGGCTAACCGAGAGACGTACCTGTAGGGGAAATTGGTGAGGGACAAATCTGCAATTCGGGAAAATACAGGCCCGGACTAACTGAATTTTCCTACCGCTACCCTACTGCGAATAGCAGACCCGGGCTACCCCTAGGACAGACAGGGCCTAAGGGCCTATGCTGATAGACAGTCCTATAACCTATAGCCGGGTAGGGAGAGGCCCTAGAGGCTGAAGCAGAAACGGTACCGGTCGGACAGTCAGTCCGGTCTAGGTCGAGTCTAGGCTAGAGTAGTCTATAGATAGGATGGGCACATCGGTTCACGGCTTTTGGCGGTTTGTACCGAGTACATCGCTGCTGTGCAACGCGTGAACTGGAAGTGGTGACGGCTCAGCGTTGAGGGAGATAGACATAGGCAGACCTGCGGAGCGCCGGCCATAGCTGGGACCTGCGCTGTACTCTGTCAGCGCGAGGGGCTGTGCAGAGGTCTGGGCTATTTGAGGTCTGCTGGAGGCGAGAGAAGTTGGTGCCCTGCTGGACCCTCCTCCGGAGTAGGGTTACAGGGATGTGGTGCTGCAGCCATAGCTGCAGCTTCTTCCTCAGAGATCATCTTGTCAGGAGGGGTGACGCTGCTGCAGACTTCCGCCCGGGAAGTCATTCAACACTTCGTCATCATCAGACACTGTGGCGCTGGTCTTCTTCTTCATCCTCTGAGTGGCGCTTGGCCTCAGAGGCCTGTTTCAGGGTGGCGCTTCCCTCTGGAGGCTGTATCTGGGTGGCGCTTGATGTTTCAGGGACTCAGGGATAGTAATAGCGGTTGATCGGGGTTGGGGATTGAAGCGCTGCTCAGCTCTGAGCAGCGCATCATAGTTCTGAGGTTATACCGACAATTCGAGACTCTGAGTTTAACAAACAGTGTGGATACTGGGTTTCAGACTATCATCGTTTCATTGGTTGTTGGATGTGATCTACTCGGCTTTCCTTTTATGACTGGTTGTGGGGATTGAGTGGAGTGAATTGCACTTTCAGTGTACCCTGTCATATCACATGGTCAAGTCTTCCGCTGTGTTTATCTCTTCCTGTGCGGTGTGATACTCCTATCCTCTCCCCTTCCTTCTGTGTATGTATGGGCATACCTGGAAGTCTATGTGAGTGAGTGTTGGTTTTCAGACAACAGACAACCAGAATCATAACATGTGGCCCGAATTTGAACAAAGGAAAATGAGTACATAGGATGAGGTTAAACTACCATGTATTTGATATTTTTTGGGTATTTATACCTACGTATTGACAATAGATAGTTTGTGGGTACTTAATACTTTTGCATACGTGTGTACGTGTGCAGTTTGTGGGTATGTATGCCTGTGTGTGTGTGTGTGTGTGTGTGTGTGTGTGTGTGTGTGTGTGTGTGTGTGTGTGTGTGTGTGTGTGTGTGTGTG